CTCAAGAAACCAAGATAACCTGTGGGAGGGGAAAGTCCTGGGCAGTTTCCATTTGGGTGATCCCTGGACTACAGTGATGGATTACTCTGCAAATATCTGCAATTGAAAAGAAGCCCATTAATTTTTTTTTTTGCAATTGAAAGAGAGATTCAAAGAGAGAAAGAAAATGTTTGATTTGAAATGGAATATGGTAAGTCAAGCCTGCCTCATTATGATAAAGTTTGATTTGTAAATTATGTCCAGTAAGAAATTAATAATAACTTACCATAGACTCTAGCAGCCTCAGAATATGATTTTCCCTTGCTTCTCTTTGGCATATCTAAGATGCTGCATCACAACTCCTGTTTGGGGGCCATTATTAAATAAAATAATGGTTGTATGAACACAAGCACTGTGATATTGCAACCAAGACACCCACTAAGTGACGAAGGGGCAGGTAGTGTAGACAGTGGGAATGTTGAACAAAGGAATGACTCACAAGGGCAAAATGGAGTCTGATGGTGCAAGAGTTCATCACACAGTCGGAACAGATGGCAAGGTAAAACTCATGAACTGTCGATTTCTGGAATTTCCAGAAAGTCAACCTTAAATACCTCAGAAAGTCAACCTTAAATACCTCAGAAAGTGAAACTGCAACTAAAGGGAGACTGATGTAGCAGAAAGAAGGACCAGAAGAGGAACAGACATGCTAAATTCTGATAAATGAAGCAGGGGGAAGAGATGGCACACCAGAGAGATAAAACTTAAAGAACTGAAACATAAAGAAGGTCACATAACACTAGGGGAATGAATTAACCAATAAAGTCACATGCAACCATATGTGGGTTGAGCTTTGCTTTTTGCTTCTGTAACCTGCTGGCGAGGGTATATAAGGTGAGACCCCCTTTGTTCTCGGGGCTCAGCCTTTGGACACGAGTTCTCTGAGTTTGTGCTGACACAATAAAATGTTGCTTCCTGCTAAACTACCTCAGTGTCCTGTATCTTAGCTTGAAAATCCAGCAATATTTCTTGGGGGCTCATTTGCCAGGATTGCAGAAACCATGATCTGTCACCTCCCTTGTTGCCGGGGTGCATCCCCCAGACTGTTGGGAGAAGATCCCACTAGGCACCAACACACAGCTTGATTCAGAGGAACTTGTTCTCCTCGTGAGTTGGGGTGGAGACCTTGGATGCACAGCAGAACCCAGTGAGGTGTAGGAAACAGCAAGGGGAGGGGAGCACTGTCTGTCAGACTGGTAAGAGCCTGGGTTCAAATTCAGGCCTGCCTCAGGAGGCAGATCTCAGAGATCACTAGTAACTGCCTTTTGGGGTGAAACTGTGTCTCTCAGGTTCAGGGAGCAGGGTGAAAGTTCTGTGCCGTGTTGGAGTATATGAAAGTGTGAGCCAGAGATGCAGTCTAGCTGTGAAGTGAGTGAGAAGTCCTGATCCACAGGTCGGTGGTGAACTCATATGGTCAAGGATGAGCCCTAACAGGGCCTTCAGTCTGGGGTTTATATGGACTCACTATGGCCAAGAGACACCTAAATCCCTGTGAGGCGAGTGGCCGGAGGCAGACTAAATGAGCACTCTTCCAAGACCCCTCCCTCTCTGTGCCTGCCTTGCTGTCTGGTAACAGGAGGAGATGGGTGTAAATCAGAGTAAAAACACTCCCTTGGAGTGAATGGTTAAAAACTTTAAAAAGGGATTGAATGGCGACTATGGAGTTAACTCCTAATAAGCTTAAGGTCCTTTGTGAAGTTGGTAGCCTTTGGTGTAGGGTGGCCCCCTGAAGGATCACTGGATAAAACTGTGGTTAATGAAGTTTATAGAGTAATTGTAGGGAATCCTGGACACCCAGAACAATTTCCCTATATTGACTGCTGGCAGGATGCTGTCCTTAGCCATAAATGGCTAAGACCTTACCTAGGAGAGGCCTGTACTATTATGGTACCTAGGGTGGCTGCAGCTTCCAAGTGCAGAGGAAAAGCAGAGGAGCCTGTAGGGCTGAGGATCCTGAGGAGGTACCACCACCCTATGTGCCACTTTACCCACCTCTGCCACCAGTGCCCAGGTCTAGACCTCTGCCTCTGACACTGGATGGGGAAGTTCAAATCTGGTTTGGAAGCTTCTGGGACCTCAACTCCCCTGACCTCCTTGAGTCCTGTGGACTCTATACCCACTCCGAGTCCACCAGCGCTCACCCTACATCCCCCACTCGATCAGGAACATCTAATTAGTCTCTGTGAGGAATCCCAGAGCCCTGTGTATTATGACCGGGAAAGCCACCTATAAGGAGGAGGACAGACACTTATCTATCAGCCCTTTACCACCACAGATGTCCTCAACTGGAAAAATCAGACCCCGTCCTTCATGGAAAGGCCTTAGGCTTTGATTGATTTGATGCAGTCTGTCCTCCAGACTCACAAACCCACCTGGACAGACTGTCTACAGCTTGTCCTGACTCTATTCAATTCTAAAAAGTGACACCATATAATGCTGGCAGCTCTAAAATGGTTAGAAGATCATGCCCCTGAGGGAATTCTAAATGCCCAAGTATACTCTCAGGCCCAGTTCCCTAGGAAGACCCACAATGGGACCCCAATAATAGCCAAGATTAACAGTGACTTGAATGGTATCAGGAGGCATTATTGGGAGGCATGAAGGAAGGAGGGAAAAAGGCCTTAACATGAGCAAAACATCAGAGGTCCTCCAAGGACTGGATGAGAGTCCCAGCCAGTTCTATGAGTGTTTGTGTGAGGCCTTCTGTTTGTACACCCCCTTTGACCCGGAAGCCACTGAAAACCAGCGGATGATTAATGCCACTTTTGTTGGCCAGAGCCAGGGAGACATAAGGTGAAAATTGCAGAAATTGGAAAGATTCACTGGAATGAACACAAATCAGCTTCTGGAAGTGGCAGCAAAGGTTTTTGTCAATTGAGATCAGGGGCTAGGTGGGAGGCTGATGGGAAAATGAGAAGGAAAGTGAACTTCTTGCAGCAGCCCTTGCTGGATAGTCAGATGGGCCCCAGTGAGTTAATCCAGGCAAAGGCAGAGGCAATCCTGGAGGATGACAACAGATGCCTTCAGGATGCCCCACCCTAGGGAGGAACTGGGGCAAAATCAATGTGCCTATGTTGTCAAGAAGGGCACTAGAAGAACGAATGTCTCCAATTGGTCAGGGACTCCCAGAAGGCCCCCCAGACCAGAGGCAGAGGCCAAATTGTGGAAGGAAAATATCAGCCCAATTGCAGGGGAGCCAGCCCCTGGGAGGAAAACACTGTTGGTCTGGCAGGTCTGAAAGGCTATGAGGAGGATTAGGACAGACTAGGCCCCCAGGAGCCTATGGTCTGAATGAAAATAAGGGGCTATCCCATTGATCTCATGGTGGACACGGGTACTGAATATTCAGTTGTGACCCAACCAGTGGACCCTCTTTCAACAAACATACAACTATTATTGGAGCCATAGGGGACTGAGTCTGCCACCTCTTCCTAATGGCTAGACAATGCAATCTTGGGAGTCATGAAATAAGGCATAAATTCCTCTATCTCCCTGATTGTCCTGTGGGCCTGATGGGTAGGGACTTGCTATGAAAACTGAGGGCACAGATAACTTTTGATTCAGATGGCACAGCAGCCTTAAAGTTGAGAGGCTCTAAGGCAAATATTCTAATCCTCACAGTTGCACAAGAAGAGGAATTGTGGCTCTATGCCCCCGGGGAGGCCTATTGAGATCTCTGAGCTTCCCTTCAAGATTCCAGGTATATGGGCTGAAGATAATCCCCCAGCTGTGGCTCAAAAAATGCCCCCAGTAGTGGTGGAACTAAAGCCAGGAGTCACCCCTGTAAGCGAGAAATAATACTTTATTCCTTGCAAGGCCCAGATTGGAATTTAAAAACACTTTGACAGGCTCTTAAAATATGGGATCTTCCAGCCCTGTCAGTCATCTTGGAACAGCTCCCCCCCACACACACTTTACCAGTCCAGAAGCCAGGGACTGAGGACTTCAGGCCAGTTCAGGATCTCCGGACAGTGAATTCAGCAACTGTCACTTTGCACCTCATAGTCCCAAATCCATACGCACTTTTAGGCCTTGTCCCAGCTGAGGCAAAGTTTTTTACCTGCCTAGAATTGAAAGACACATTCTTCTGCATCCTCCTGGCCCCACAGAGCCAGCCCATTTTTGCCTTCCAATGGGAAAATCCCAATACCAGGGACGAGGGACAGCTAACCTGGACTTGGTCACCACAGGGCTTCAAAAATTCACCCACTATTTTTGGAACTGTCTTAGCATCCAACCTAAAAGCCTTCTCAACCAACCAGCATGACTGCACACTCCTCCAACATGTAGATGACTTTCTGCTAGCTGGACTAACTTGGGAGGACTGTATGGAAGGGACACACCTTCTCCTTTGTCTTTTATGGGAGGCAGGATACAAGGATACAAGGTCTCTAGAAAAAAGGCCCAAATTTGCCAAGACACTGTCAAATACCTCAGCTTTCATTTGTCCCAGGGGCAATGCAGGCTTGGCCCTGAGAGAAAATAGGCTGTATGTTCCATTCCAGCCCCTAAGACCTGCTGGCAAATTAGAGTTTTGGGGAGCTGCAGGTTTCTGTTGAGTCTGGATTCCTAACTACTCCCTCTTGGCCAAACCCCTGTATGAAGCCACAAGTCAGGAAGAACAAGAGCCTTTAGTATGGGGGAGGGAAGAAGAGAAAGCTTTTAAAGAAACCACAAGGGCACTCACCAACGCCCCTGCTCTAGGCCTGCTGGATGTGATGAAGCTCTTTTTCTTGGATGTCCATGAGTGAAAGGGAACAGATATTGGGGTCCTGACTCAATTACTGGGCTCTTGGCACTGTCTGGTGGATTACTTGTCAAAACAATTTGATGCCATTTCCCAAGGCTGGCCTCCATGCCTGCATGCTCTGTCAGCTACCTCTGCCCTGGTGGCAGAAGCAGACAAGCTCACCCTGGGGCAAGAACTCACTGTCCTGGTCCCTCACTCCATCCTAACATTCATGAAGTATAAGAGAAATTATTGGCTGACTCTCGGATGGTCAAATACCAGAGTACGCTATGTGAAAATCCGTGCATCCAGCTGGAGGTTGTTGACTATAAACTCGGCCACTCTATTGCCAATTGACTTGGGTCCCCCAGAGCATGACTGCTTAGAGGTTATGGATGAGGTTTTCTCAAGCTGGCTAGATCTAACCAACCAGCCTATTGGCAATCCAGATGTTGAATATTTCACAGGTAGCAGCAGTTTTGTCCAGGATGGCACACATTTTGCCGGTTTTGCGGTGGTGACTTTGGACTCAGTTATTGAGGCTCATCCGTTGCCAGTTGGGAGTTCTGCACAAAAGGCTAAACTTGTTGCCCTCACATGGGCACTCCAGCTCACTGTAGGAGTACAAGTAAACATTTATACTGACCCTAAATACACCTTCACAAACACCCATATCTATGGGGCCTTATATAAAGAGAGGGGACTCATTAACTCAGGAGGAAAAAATGTCAAGTGTGAGCAGGAAATCCTTGAACTGATAGATGCTGTGTGGGCCCCTAAATGGGTGGCAGTTATACACTACTGTGGGCACTAGGAGATGCAACAATTGCCTGGGGAAACTGGAAAGCTGACAAAGAGGCCAAACAAGTGGCTCTCACAAGAGGGCTAATCCCAGTGGTCTGATGGCTGCCATGTTCCCATGCCCCTTAGCTGAATGGGACCCATGGTACACAAGAACCACAAGAACAGGCCCAGTTTAAGACTGAGGAGGGAAATTTTCTCCCAAACGGATGGTGGACATTTGCTGATGGCCATATTGCTATACCTGAGTATACATTTGTCAAGCATTTCCGTGAAGAAACTCATTCAGGCAAACAGCCCTTGAGACCAGCCTGGCTCAGCATTTTTATGTCCCCAAGCTCTCCAGCATAAATAAGACAGTATGTGAGAGATGTACTTTTTGTGCCAAAAAATAATCCCAGACAAGGGCCAAGAGTGCCCCATGATGCCCAGAGTGTTGGTGGAACTCCTCTTGAAAACTTGATTGTGAACTTCACTGAAATGCCACAAGTTCAAGGATGCAAATATCTGTTGGTGTTTGTTTGTACCTACTCAGAATGAATGGAAGCCTTCCCCACATGGACTGAAAAGGCCCGGGAGGTGGCCAGATGTCTGTGAAGGAAATCATCCCTGGGTTTGGAATACCTGTATCTATTGGATCAGATAACAGGACAGCCTTTGTGGCAGAGGTGGTACAGTTAATAGCTGGAAGTTGCACACTGTCTGCCACCTGCAGAGTTCAGGAAAGATGGAGCGAATAAACAGAACCCTAAAATCACAGTTAAGAAAACTGTGTCAAGAGACCCATCTGCAATGGGATCAATGATTACCCATAGCATTACTAAGGATTAGGTCTGGTCCCACAAAGCAGACAAGGCTCTCACCCTTTGAACTCCTTTATGGACACCCACTCCCCTTAAAGGCATAAGGGGGAAACTTAAGGAAATAGGTGACCTCTCCTTGAGACAGCAGATGCAGGCCCTCAGGTTGACTCCTCAAAAACAATGAGTGGGCTGGGAGAGACTCCCTGTCAGCCTGACAACTCCCATGCACCCTTACAGGCCAAGGGATGCTGTCTGGGTAAAGGAATGGAATGTCCAACACTAAAGCCTCATTGGAGAGGCCCTTTTGATGTTATTTTGTCTACTCCCATCACAAAGTAGTAGAGATTGCTCCTTGGATCCATCACAGCCAAGTCAAGCCAGCTTCTCTTGAGTGGGAATACATCCCTGATCCAGCTTCACCATGTAAGATCACTCTGGAATGTCAGCACACTTCCTCGACAGAATTCTGCTTCTGGGGAGACAACAGGAGACCACAAAGAACGGGGCGGCAGCCCTGCTCTAGTCACTCCAGAAGCTGACTAGCCTATGCATGGCAGAAGCTTGAGGCGTCGACTCTCAAACAGGACCAACAGACTGCTTTCTATACCAGTTATTTCACTGTAATGCATTGTCACCCCTTGTCTGTATCTGTTGCTGTAGTTCTCACCCTAGTCTTTACCATAGGTTTGAAAGAAACCGCCACAACCAACTGGACTCATAGTGAGAGGTTTTTATTAACTCTCTTCTACCTCTTTTGGGCAGGATGCATAATTACTGTTTATTGTACTGATGAAGTTTCCCTTCATGGCCCTGGGGCCCTCCTCCTGTGACCTCTGTATACATACTACTCGGGCAGGAAGTGTCACCAGGACTTTGCTTTTCCATAGTTTCTATTCCTGTGCAGGCTCTGCCATCGGGTCATGCACCTATTTAGTGCATACCATACCACCTATTTAGTGTGCTGCCAAGGTAATCAGCATATCTGCTTCAGCCTCACTTACTGCCCTCCGAAGTGATGGTTAGAGTCCGGAGCGTCCACAACTCTGGGAACCTCGTCAGCCACACCCTGGTGTTTAGTCCTGATAAACCAGTGTCAATGCTCTTTGATGCATGTGTGGCCATAGACCAAGGTGGATGTGGAGGTACAGGCTGTGGCTGTGGGGGCCTAGCTTGGGAGAGAGCCTATACATACAATGATAAATATATACACATATATGTGTACATATATACAATGACAAGTATATGTGCTGAGGAGACAACTCTTGGCCATGTGATGATGTAGATCCTCATTATTGCCCTTTTGGGAGTTGTGTTTCATGGACTACATGGGAAAGGACAAAACATGCAGCCCTCCTTCACAAGGGGACAGCTGTCCCTAACTGTATCCCTGGTACCTGTAACCCTATAAATTTCACTGTACTTATGCCATCTGATTGGAAACAAGGACATATAATTAACATAAAGATAGATGGAAAGGGCCTTGACCCCAGGACTCTGATGTACCTCAAATTAGTAACTCATACCCATGAGAGTTCCTCATACCAAGTTTTTCACTACTTTTATGAAGAAATGAGGAGTGAATTTTCTATCTTTACCAAGGCTAAAAACTTGTTCCTCTTGCTGGCCGAATCTATAGCCCAGACACTGAATGTCACTTCGTGTTATGTTTGTGTGGGGACCAACACGGGAGACCATTGGCCTTGGGAAGCAAGGGAGCTAGACCCACAGGAACCTTTTAATAAAACTGCTTTCCCAAAACACAGGAAAGGGGTCTGGCTCCTGAAGACTTCCATCATCGGGAATCACTATATCTCCTGCCCAGAAGGCCAACTCTCCACCCCAGTAGGAGATTTAACTTGCTTAGGACAGAAGCTTTACAATGATACCGCCCAAGAGACTCAATGGTGGTAGCCCCAAACCACGCTGGACCTCACCCTCACCCACTGACTAACTTCCCTACTCTCCAGAAAGCTTGGAACAATCTTACTGCCAATGTAGATTGGCAGGCACCCAGGGGGCTATATTGGCTCTGTGGGAAACAAGTGTATATGGTGCTACCTAATAGCTGGTTTGGTTCTTGCATGCTAGGCTCAATCAGACCATCCTTTTTCGTGCTTTCCCTCAGACAAAGTGAAAAACTGGGAGTCCCCATATATAAAGATTAAGTAGACAAAAATGGGGTGCCTTACAAATTGGTGATTAGAAAGATAATAAATGGCCTCCTGAGCAAATCATCCACTTGGGCAGAAGATTGGTACTGGGGCTATCGCACCCCAATATATGTGCCCAACCACATTATCTGGCTGCAGGTTGTTGTTGAAATTATAACTATTGAAATGGCCAGAGCCCTTCATTTTCTGGCAAAACAAAGCACTATGATGTGCAATGGCATCTATCAGAACCACTTGGCCTTAGGCTATTTGCTGGCTTCTGAGGGAGGAGTTTGTGGAAAGTTTAACCTGAGCAACTACTGCTTACAGATTGATGCTAAAGGAAAAGTCATAGAAAAAAAAAATCACAGACAGAATGAAAAAGCTTGTCCATGTCCCCATCCAGACTTGGAGAGGATGGACTCCCAGTGACCTTTTTGGAGGATGGTTCTCTGCCTTGGGCAGATTCAAAACCCTGATAGGGGTGATAGGCCTTGTCCTGGAAGCATGTTTAATATTACCCTGCTTGGTCCCCTGGCATTGCAATCCATCAAGACCATTATATGGAGGCCAATGTAGAAAGAAAAATGGCTGCACATGTAATGATGCTATGGTAATACAAACCCCTAGATCAAGATGATGTTCTTTGACCCCAGGTGGATCTGAGCGTCAAAGGGGGGGGAATGATGTAGCAGGGAGGAGGACCAGAAGAGAAACAGACAGGTTGTGTTCTGATAATGAGGAGGGGTAAGGGATGGCATAGCAGAAAGATAAAACTTGAAGAATTGAAATATAAAGAAGGTCACATAACACTAACGGAATGAAATAGCCAATGAAGTCATATGCAACCATATGTGGGTTGAGCTTTGCTTTTTGATTCTATAACCTGCTTCCAAGGGTATATAAGGTGAGACCCCTTTGTTCTTGGGGCTCAGCCTTTGGACACGAGTCCCCTGAGTCTGTGCCAGCACAATAAAACGTTGCTTCCTGCTAAACTACTTCAGTGTTCCGTATCTCAGTATGAGATTCCCACAAGACTACTGTACTTTATCATTGGTTATTCTTATATAATGAATGCTATATAAGATGCTATGTAATGTTATATGCTAATTTCTTTAATATATATGGATCAGTACTATACTTTGTTTCAGGTATCCACTGGGGATCTGTAGCCCCCTCAGATAAGAGGGCATTACTGCTGGGAGTGGTAGTGCATGCTTATAATTCCAGCACTCAGAAGTCTGAGACAAGAAGATCATGGGCTCAAGGCCATCCTGGGCTACACAGAGAGGCCCTGTCTCAAAAAATAAGATGGGGAAGATTATTATTAATTCAGTCCTAGACGGGAATGGGAGGCAAGTATATCTCTGCAGGCACCAATCTCCAATCAGAAACTGTTCTGTGTCTAATTAGCATAGAAATAGCACATTTAAGTTTTTAAAAACAGGTTACAAAATAGTAATCAAGTTATGATACCCATTTTAGGACAATATAAATTTGCACATAAAGGTTTGTGGGCATTGTGTGTTGGATTGTGCATCCTCATCACTACCAAATATATGTTGCAGTCCTAGCCCCCACATCTGGAGATAAAGTCTTTAAGGGGGTAACTAAGGTTAAAACAAGACTTAGGGTGGGCCCTACTCCAGCCTTGATACTAGATCACTGATCCTGAGTTCATGTCCAGACAAAGTGGATGAATGAAGACTCCAGACAAGAAGTCACGAGTGAAGCAGACACAAGGTTTATTGAAAGGCGGCAAAGCTTCCTCATGGGAGGGGCTTAGGGAAGCTACCATTGCACAGCTGCAGTCTAGGAGTGATACAGGGCTTTGCCTGGCTGAGGTCCCACTATTCTATCTTGAAATTTACTAC